GAAGACCGTGCGGTCTGCCTGTGAATAACATGTATGACATTTAAACACAGAGTGGAGATGTAAATACAATTCATGTAATACAACGCTGCTATAGAATGAAATTCATTTCAGGGTGCCCTGAACTCCGCGAAGGTCAACGTCGCACAGCGGCACGCACACCACCTTCTGAAGTGTGACTTGGTTTCTTCCAAGCAGCGTTTGCTCCTGTGAAGGGCAAGGCTAACAAGTGACTTAGAAACAAGCACGTCACCGCGGCATTTCACCCAGAGGTGAATAATCACCGTGTTACAGTGTGGGATTTAGGACACCTTGCGTTGTAAAGCTAAATAAAGTTGCATGGAAAAAGCTCTGGGACTCGCTGATAGAGAGCATGTTTGGATGCAGAAAGTAAATGCAGCTTCAAAACAGGGTTAAGAAGATCACTCCACCAAGACCTAGAAGAACCCAAGATCAAGGAAAAACTTCCAGTTCACACAGTCTAAGCAATAGTGCTCAGAGCTGGGAAGAACGTATCGCACTTTCACCTTGTGCCTACCCCAGGTACTTGCTCTGGGTCTTCTCTCTTGAGCGAACGCGAGGCGAGTGGATCTGGGTAACGGTTGTGTTGGATCCAACATACCCACCGGTTAACGGTGAGGAAAGCCAGGTGGCTTGGGTTCTTCCCTTTGCCACGTTTCACTCCAGCCACCAGAACGCAACCGCATAACACGTTCTGAAACACCAATCCCACCCCTTTTCCTCACTCCCTAGCCATTCCACCCGGCCCCTCCGTGAGACCGGGTACGCACTGAGGTTGTGCTGCCTCTCCCACTACAACTGTTCTAGGATGATTCCTACTTTCCTGAACACTTCGAGCTGGAAAGAACTAAGGAGCTTGGTAGGTGACACACACCTTAAGCGCTCGTTGGCTGTACCTCAGCTTCACCACGCGTGTCCCTTCCGTGTGAGAGCACTTCCTCAGACACGGCAGAAGGCAGACAGGAGTCTAGCGCTGCCTTCCTCGCTTTATTACCCGCGCCCGTTCCTAAACACTCCCCCTTACCTCCTCCCCCGAGCCTTCCTCGTACCGTAGTATTCAGCCTTCCCTGTGCAAATGACCTCACTTTCTATTTGCAAGAGAGGACCAAAACCACAGGCTGAGTTTCCTGCCCATGTACACAAGACGGCTTAGCCACAGCCTCCTCAGTTAGCTGCTTACATAATTAGCCTCGGCTGCATCTTAAATGAAATGGTTCTGTACCACGGCTTGATCGCTGTCAAGTGCAAGGTAAAAATGCTGTCTGAAATGGAGTCTGCCTTTTCCTTGAAAACTGCCAATTTAAATCAAGAAATCGGAAGGATTTGGTTCATACAGGAGAAAAAAAAAAAAAAGGCACTGCTTAGGCATAGATCTAGCCTGTGGAACCCAAGTTCATACCCAACCATCGCTGTGGTTACTCTGGCACATTAATTTTTATGAAACAAAGCAGTTTTGGGTCACTTCTGCAAGGAAACCAAGAAGGTAAAGAATCATTCTTTCTTGTTGCTAAGAATAAAGTGAAGGATTAATTATTTGTGGAAAGACTAAAATGCTTTGTTTATAAAATCTAAATAATCTGTAATTAGAAAGCGTTATTTGCTAAGTGTATGTTTGGTTTTCCTGTGTCTGGAGATACCTAAATGCAAGTTTGTTACGGTCAGCTCTGTACAATGGCAGAAAACAACGCTACTTTTCAGGGCAGATCCCTCAGTAACTGTAAACGCCTACCCTGAGCTTGTCATCTGTATCTACATTTAATAAAAGCATCCCGACGGTAGAATTTAAACTGTCCTAGATTGAGACTTTGGTTCTTTGTAAATTCAGAAGCTGCTCTTGGGGGGCGAGGAGAAGCTGCGAGTATTCCTAGTAAATGCTCACTGACCAGACTCCACAGTCAACAGGTTTACTTCACTTTTACTTGAGGAGTAGGGAAAAAGAGGCCAAACGGGGCAAGGTGGGGGGAGCATTATCAGAGGTTTCTGGGGCGTAATAGATACTTTCCATTATATACCCTTTGAGACTGGAGTTCTTTCAACAGGCTGCTGCAGATCTCTACTTCCTCCCCTTCCTACATTTAGTACTACAAAATACTACTTGCCACAGTGTATAACTGGTTGTTACACCTGCCTGCTCTTAAAAGAGGCAAGAGCTGTAAGATGCTTATGGCCTAGTACCATCTACACTTGACTTTTAATGCTGAGGGGAAAAAAAAAAAAAAAAAGAGTCTGCTTACTACATTTATTTCTGAAGTTGCCAATGTACTGAAATGAACTGTTTAAATAACGTAAATGTCACTGTTTGCCGTATCATTATGCATTAGGGAACTAGCTGCTGCTGCAGGGACTGTTCCAGCCCAAACTCAGCGTGATGAGAACTCCCACTGTTAGCAGAGCTTGTGCTTTATTACACTCTGAGACAGGGTAATGTAAGAGTTTTCTATACAAGAAGGGCTGGAAAAAGATGAAAGTTTTAACAATCACTAAGAATTTATATTAAAAATAAGAAAGTAAACCAAACACAAAACCCACCCAACTCGGTAACTTACCTCAATACTTCAATGAAAGCTTTCAGCCCTTCTTTTGAAGTCACTCTTCTCACAGGCGGCAGTGCCTGAACCAAAGACGGAGATGCTCCCAGAACTCCTACAGAAGGATCACGGCTTATGTCCCAAACCCAGCAGTTTTATGCCTTCAGTCTCTCCTATTTTATTTAAGTTTTTAAGAATGCCTTGTTTCATTTTAAGACCTTTTGGGCCTGCATGTTATCTTTAAAAAAATTCTAATGGAATTATTAATGCTTAGCCAAGCTGATACTGGAACAGTGCAGTCTTAAAAACTAAACCCTTCAAAAAAAAAAAAAAAAAGGAAACTGCCCGTACAAATAAAGTAGACTATAACTGATAAAATTTCACTTTTAAAAATAGTGACTCATTCTCATGCTCTCAGGAAAAGTTTTAAGAAAAAGCATGACTATACAAGCAAGTATCCATATGACAAAGGTGCAAATTGGAGGCTACAAAACGCCATTACTCCAACTTTCACGTGAGAGTTACACAGGAGCTACAGTAAAGACTGCCTTCAGAGGAGCCGAGCTGCTTGTTTCCAGAGAACTGGGTTTTTCAGGTAAGCTTGTTCACTGCCAGTTGGTATGGTGTTTTAAGCCAAAAGCCATAATTACATCCAAGCCCTGAGTGAAAATTTTATCACTTTTTTTTTTTTTTTAAAAACGTCTCCATCCTCTACACCTCCCTCTCTTCAGGTCTGAAGAGATTAAACGTCCCCTTTACAAAGGTCAAGGTTATATTCACAGTTAAAATGTAGGGGGGAAAATGGAGATAATAATTAACCAGTAACCATTTAAACATGTTTCCCAATAAGCTGCTTCAAACTCACCTAGTTTGAACTATACATAAACTAGAACAAATTGTTTTATTACAGCACCAAAAAAAAAAAAGAAAACCCAACCAAAACAAACCACGTGCTGTTCTCATTTAACACTAGAAGAACAAAGAAATGCTGACTGTAGATAGAATTAAAAGTTATCTTTTAAAATACTGGAGACAAAATGCGGTATTAGTTTTTCCCAAGTACACTGTATAATAATTTACTTAAATAGTACAGGTGTGAACATAACTCATGGAGTAACAACTGAAATACCTGAAAACATAAAATATTTAGAGAAATGTCATATGCAAACCAATTCTTCCCCACCTCGGAAAGAATTCAACAGATTTCCCTGAGTTTGAACAGCTTCAGTGAAATGAAATGAACCAGAATCCAGGTTTAAGTCCAAAGAGCTAAATGGAAACCAACCTCTTCACATAACGTGTTCTGTGGTATAATTGTACCCATTAATTTTTATTCAGTGTTTGTCTTAAATCCATCTGAAAATAAAAGGCAGTGTTGACTACCACTAGAAAATTGCAAATAAAATGTTTAATTTCAGAAACTTGAGTTCACCATTTATAAATACACTAAAACATAGTAAATGCAAAATTAGATTAGGCATAGGTACAGTATTTTTAACAAAGCTACAACTTTTCTAAAAGGTCATAGGCAAATGATGACTTGTTTCCCAAAATGTATTCAATGAAATCTGAAATGAGATTAGTCTCTCTAGAGTTAAAAAAACCACAGAGAACGTTCCTTTCAAATTAAAATGCTGGCTATTTTTTCCATCTTATTTAAAGTTTTGAGGGTTCTATATCCCATTTGCCTGATGGACACCAACAATTAAGAATCAACCCTACTACATAAGATTCTAAGCAGTGCACCATATCCATAAGGCTATTACTGAAAATCAGAAGATCAGTCATTTCTGTACTAGGAGCTTTAAGATAGGCTGTTCTACACAACTGAAATTACATTAGGAGTAAGGGCTCAATTTGTACAAGAGGGAACCTTATAGTTTCGTTGCACTAAAGATTAGAAAAGGCTTTAGAATTACATCAGTCTTCATGGTAAATTTCTTGCCTTTTTTTGTACATGTCATTAAATAACAAGCATTTACTCACAAACTTGGATAAGACTTCCAAAGAGTTTTTATAAATACCCAGAATATTTCTGTAGTTCAGTTAAAATGTAAAACCGGAACAGGAAAACCCAAAATGGGAAGTTTTACTACTGACTGTTGTGTAACTGACATTCCATATCCTCTCCAATTTAAGATTTATTTCAGATACTAAATCGATAGTCTCCTGTAAACACATCTTCCCCAGTAACTCTTCTTAATCCTTTAAGTACTTTAGGGCTTGCAGTTAAAAACACCACTTGATAGAAAGTCGTCTTGAACCCCATCTTTCATCTACAGCTTTCTTTTGGACAACTACCAAAAGCTGTTTTGTTGCAATTAAAGCAATGTTCAACTAAAATACAGTACCTGGTTTATGGTTTTTACATAATAATTGAATAAAAAACTACAGAATAGAACTGTTTACATCTTTTTTTTCTTTTTCTTTTTTTTTTTTTTTGCCATTCTATTAAAACAGATGACTGAGCTTTTTAAAATTCATTTACAATTATGGATTAAAACCTACGTAGTTTTGTATAATTTGACAAGACAGGCTATCTAGTATGAACTTTTAAAAAACATATATACAGTATCTGGCCTGAAGTACTATGAATAAGGCACATGTAGACATATTGAAAGCTGAAAAAAATGAAACTAAAATTTGGAATTACAGTCACTGATTAGATGTCATACATGGCCCCTATTGGAGCAATTTAACAATCCGAGTTATAGATAGTTAATATCCAGTGAGCAACAATAGATTTAGTCTAGCAGTTTGTTCATTAGTTTCAATACTGGAAGTATATTAAAGGAAGATTCACTTTCAAAAAGATGAGTTTTTCAAAGTGTTCAATCATTAACCTTGACTGACTAAAGTTGTTGCTTTCATTGGATGTACTGAACAGTCTCTCCGACGGAACAATGCTTGGTGGACACCCCAAGAACCTGACAGCCAATTTTGACAGTACTGGCCAAGATGACTTCTTAAAGTTCCAGTAAGTTAAAGGATCACAGTTATGCTCAAGCACTTCTTCCTCCAAGTAAGAAAGCACCATTTCCTCTGGTAACTTTGCTCTCTCTTTCAGGTCTTTTGTTTTCTTCATGTCACCCATGAGTGACCAAAGATTATCTTCCCCATATGAATTTGTAGATGGTGAACCTATATCACATCCATTGGAAACAGGTTTATCATCATCTGAGGTAGAACTCATTATTTCCAGCTCCCTGATTAAGTCTTGTTTATATTGTTCAGCCTCCTCTTCCGTAAATAAGGACGTTTTATACCGTGGATCCAGAAGCGTAGCAAAAATGTACCTTGGATCATGAAGCGTGGAGGACAGTCTACTCACCATAGCTTCTTTCAAAGACTTCAGCATAGTATCTATGCCCATTGTCTCCTCAAACAGCATTTCTATTTTCCTGTTAAGTATATGGATCATTGGAATCACTTGGCTTAGCGTAGACATGTGTGTACTCATCTCCCTGCTTGCAGCTTCGAAAGGCTTGAGAGCATGACACACCGACTGCATGACCTCCCACTGGTCACAACTTATCAGCTCCCGGAAGCTGCACTCTATTGACATCTCATCGATCGCTCGTTTCTGTTCGATAAGACGTTCAAGCATATGAAACGAGGTGTTCCACTTAGATGGAACATCTTGTATTAGCTGATGCTGAGGCAACTCGTACTCTTTTTGTAACTCAGCTAACTTCTCTTTCGCTTTTGCTGACCGATGGACGCGTTCACAGATCTTTCTTGCAATGCTAAGCAAATTCTGAACCATTCTCTGGCTTTTAATAGCCTCGTTTACAATGACATTAACAGTGTGACTAAAACATTGTACACTTGAATGATCGCCTTCATTTAAAGTTTTTTCTATACTCTGATTATCAGTAACAGTAATCCCGATCTGAAGGCCGATGGAAGTAATCCATGTTTCCCACCAGTACTCTAACTGCTTTTGAATACTGATTCCATTGTAGTCACAATCAACCTGTGATACATTTAATAGTGCTGAACAATGGTAATCCTCACACTGCGGCCGAAATGAAGAGTCAAATGTTACCCAATGAGCTGTCAGGGTTAGATATTCTCGTGTTTGGTTGCTCATCCATATTCCAGAGGTAAAATGGATCACTCCACTTTCAGCTTCTTTAAGATGTGAAATAATTATTTGTTTTACGTTATCGTACATGTCTGGAATTGCTGTCCTAGAAAAGTAAGACGGTGAAGGTAAAGAATACTGAGGTTGCAAGTATTCAAGCAGCCTGTTAAAGCCAACGTTGTCTACAAAAGAATATGGCTGAAGGTCAAGTGCAATCATTTCAGCTACAAGACTTGTGATTTTTTTGGCAACTGGGTGAGAGTCACAAAACTTGTCATTGGTTTCATCAAAATTTGAAGATCCTAGTAATTCTGTGCTCAGTGGCATGTGATTATCCGTAGATGAGGACAATACTGTCTCTGAGACATCAGTTTTCAATACATTGTTATGGAACCGCTGCAAATGTCTTAGAAGGCAACTCGTGCCTAGATTTGTTTGCTTTTTACCCCTACTTATTGTACGTCCACAGTGCATACATATTACTTTTGTTGAATCTGCAGAACAAACAGAAAAGTGATTCCACAGCTTTGAGGTCTTCTTACTATTAGCAGGAAAAATAATTTGATTATCACGTGTAACCATTGTAGGCAAGTCAGTCAACTTGGCGGAGGAACATTCTGCAGAAGCCAAAGTGGCGTAAGGAGAATTTGCCAAACTCACATCAAGAAAGCTCTTTTGGTTTCTAATTACATCAGGGTGGCGTCTATATAAATGTCTCATCAAGCAGCTTGTGCCCACGTCTCCTTTTTTACCACGACTTATCATACAACTGCAGTACCTACATACTGCTTTTAGACTGTCTGCAGGTGACAGTGAAAAGTGATGCCAAACTTCTGATTTAAGCCTTTTCATAATCCTTTTATTTTGCTGGAATACAGCAGTAGGTTCAAATATTAGTGGACCTAATCCCTCACACTGTTTCTCAGGAGAGGAAACAAAGGAGACTTCACCTATATCATCAGAAGATGACAGCAATGAGTCTTCCACCAGAGCATCTCCAGAAGAGAGGTTAGTATGGATCTCCTCAGAGATTCTGTCTGGAGAAGAAGAAACAGACGTTGATTCTTTCATCAGTTTTCCAGGAGAGGACGACATAGAATTCAGATCACTATCTGAGGGTAGTAAAGAAGGCAACAGAGTTGGAGGTGCGGTGTAGAGAGGGGGTATACTGGTACCACCCCCATTCTCTTGCAGGACAATGGAACGATGGGCTCTCCACATGTGTCTTATTAAACAACTCGTTCCCAGGTCTTTTCCATTTTTTCCTCTACTGAATTCATTCATGCAGTGGATGCAAACAGCTTTAGAATTATCTAGAGGTGACAAATAAAAGTGTTTCCAGACAGCAGATCTCCTTCTGGAACCTGATGTGCTCTTTGGAATTACAACAGTTTTTTCTGCTACATTCTCCACAGTGTCATCATACTGGTTGTTGGGTAGCTGAGGAGACGACCCAACCATGACCTCTTCTTTGCTGCACTTCTCAGAAACTGAGAGATCTGATATTTCTTCAGAAGAAACAAGAGAAACAGATTCCTCAATTATTCGATCTGGAGATGGTATTTTAGAAGCCATTTTCTTGACCAGTTTTATAGGGGATAACATAGAACTCAGATCTCCGACATCTGCGGACTGAGGTGGCAGTAACAATGTAGGTGAAGAAAACGAGGATATACCTGGCATACTTCCATTTTCTTGAATTAGCACAGTGGGATGGGCTCTCCTCACATGTCTCATGAGACAGCTTGTACTCAGGTCCTTTTCATTTTTACCCCTGCTGAATTCTTTCATACAGTACATACATATTGCTTTAGTGCTATCTCTAGGAGAGATAAAAAAATGGTTCCAAGCAGGAGACTTTTTTCTGGAGCTTATGTTTCTGCTAGAAAGGAGGCTTTGTGTCACAGCTTCCATTGCTACATCATACAGCGTACTACTGTACTGAGAAAAAAGAGATCCATAATCGTCTTCATTTTCTGTAGATAAATATTTGCCAGGGTTATTGGTAATGAAGTTTTTTTCTTTGTCTTCTTGTTCATCACTGCTGTCCACATGTTTGAAATCATCTTGTTCTGTCTTGATATCCATTCCTTCTAGAGTACAGTTAATGCTGTCTTCCTCTTGCTCTACTTTTAAGTTACTGATTTTACCCAATACAAAATTACCATCCATTCTGGGGGAACCTGCTTCACTCTTGTCCATGGATGACAAATTCTTCTTGCCAGGTCTTCATTTATTAATAAATATAGATATTCAAAAGATGATTTTAAAATGGATTAAAATGACGTATCTTGTATACTGAATGCACAAACACAAATGTGTGTGTGTGTTAAAATAATCTCTGGTTTATGAATTCTGTATCCGTGTTGTGCATAAGCAAATATGATTAGTCATTAAAATGCATTCAAAAATTATACTTAATTAATGGAATCTCATTTTTTCTCCAGGATCAGGACATTTCAGGTTATAGATGAATGTTCTCAAAGACAGCTACTGTTAAAATGCTTCATGTTGTAGACATGATCCTAAAAAATGAATGTTCTATTTTCTTGAAGGAAGCCATTCTGCATTTCTTGACTGGGCAACTGCTATTCTTTTGCACCATCTAGAAATAAATAAATAAATGGAATCAGACTATAGCAAAGGTGAACTGAAAACATGCACTAAATGTTCTGTGTTTTCTTTTGGGCCACACTCCTCCCCCCTCTCCCCCCCCTTGAGAAAAAAACAAATCAGTGTATGATTTTTAATAAAAGGCAAGATTTACTCAACACATTTATTGTGGGCAAACACATGGCCACAGCTGCAGCTCTGTTTCAAATCAACAAAAATCTAGAGTCCAAACATCACTTCTGTGTTTGCTTGGACATACCTATGCCTCATCCTACATTCTACTTCAACCACTGCATAATCACATGTACATATACAAACACATACTATATCGGTATCGATAGCTACAGATACATATGAAGACACGCAGGCATTTAGTCATGAGAGCACTGAAATATGTACTTAAAAAGCAAACATGAAGTCTTTACTGACAGCAGTGTTTAAAAATACAGTATTTTACAATAAACTTCTGTAAGGATGTCCAGCGTTCAGTCATACTAACTCTCCCTGTTCCTCTGACCAGTCTCACATGGTGATACTCATGCCATAACACTCGGTATCAATACACTGAGGTATCTCAGAAGCAAAGATACACACAGTTGCTCAGTCGACTGTGCCTAGTGCAGCACTGTCAGCTCAAGTTCCTCAAGTACCCACGGGATATTCCTTCATGGGTAAAGATTTCCTCCACCAACAATTCCAGTACAAAGTGTTTGAAGTGTAGCTGCATACAAATCAGAAGTAACAAGTTCAAAAACCAGACCCCTTCACCAGCCCCCTGCAAACCTGAAGAAGCTGTCTTCGTGTCAGCCATTTTTTTTCTTTTTACTACATTTCCATCAGAATTCTAAATTTTGCCAAAACCTTTCTCACTTATTCTCTTGTGTCATTAGTGTAGCTATTAGTACCTTCATTCAAGAGAAACATTTTTTCACCACACAACTGATGCTGCACTATGCACTCCAATTTGTGGAAACTGACTTTAACGGGACTCTCTCCCTGTCTGAAGACAAAACACACGTTTCAGTCAGTTATTTTAAAAGCTTCTCACACAATTTTCATGTGTTACTCAGACACAAGAAGGATTTCAGCAGACAAAAGGTGAGGTTAGCCATAGCTACAAGACACATAAAAGGAGTCTAGGTTGTACTCACACAAACATTTCCCCCCTGTATCAAGACCAATGTCATATTAGCTTTGTAACCCATTTTAATTAATATTTCTCTGGGGTCTGTTTACAAGATAGATCAGAAACACTTATTTTCCGTAGATTACAGATTTCTGGAAAGCCTATTGTAGCAATAACTTACTTTCTTTTCCAGTACAGGGAAGAGGCAGGGAAAAGGAGGAGCAACCAGCTTATTGCAGATATTTTAAGAGAAAGGAGATGGAGCAGTCAGAACTTGCAAGAGAAAGGCAGTAGGTCTGGTCTTCTTTCTGTGAAAGTTTTAGTGTTTGTGCTCTGCCTTCCTTCTCAGAGAAGAAAAAAAAATAATGTTTTCAGACAACAAAAGACGTAAGGGTTGAGCATGAATAACATCAGTTCTAACAAAGGGAGACACTTGAAAAAGAAACACCTACACTACATTACTTTCCAGAGTTTATGAAATGGCATCTAGGAACAACTCTGGCAGCAGAGACTAAATTTACATCACTCAGTACAAAACTGAATGAAGTGGAACCCCATGGCAGGGGAGTTGGAACTAGATGACCTTTAAGGTCCCGTCCAACCCAAACCATCCTATGATTCTAGATACATCTGGGACAAGATAGTGAAGACTTTAAATAGAAATCAATTTAACAGGATTTTTTTTACCTTTATTTTGATCTCATCTGTGAATTTGGAGCTGGTACGGCAAACAGGAAAAGCAAGAATGTAAAATAAGCTGTTGTGACTTAGGATCACAGAACAGAGAGGCTCACAAGCAAGTGCCTCCATGCAGAGCTTACACAACATAAATTATGCATCTAAGTGCCAAGTTACAGTAAGTACATTAGAGATTCCTAGCTAGATTCGCACTAAATACATGCATATGCCCACTGGCATTGGGTTCTGATGAATTTGTGCACAATTTCTTTGCCTCAAAACAGGTAATCACATCTCACGCCTGCAACTGCTGTAATTTCTTAACTGGGCAAAAAGAATTCTAGGCTTTGAACAGAAAAATCCATGGAGATGCTTCATTAGTCCCTGTCCTGATAAGCAGTTGCCACTTAACACAGCTAAGCACAAGGTAGCTGTGATGGGAAGATTTGGAAGCCTGATAAATGACCACTTGCAAACTTCCTAACAATACTTAACTAGATCGACATTCATTAATACACACTCCCAATGGTTAAATTCTTAACCATTATCAGCCACTATCAACGCATATTCAAGCAGTTAGGACCTAATAATCTTATCCTAAATTAGGTTTGAGTACACAATACCACTGAGCAGATGCCATGTCGTTAAATACTTATGGCTGTGGTCCTCGATGGTCTTCATTGCTGAAGTTGAGGAGAATAGGTGAGACGTTTAGCCTTCCAAGCAGGTACTGGAGTGGTAGACTTATTTCTTCCCTACTTCTCCTTGCTGTCGCTGGGTGTTTTTAATGTTCGTAATCTCCTGCCCCCAGAAAAGGTGTGGGAAACAATCTCATCTGATCCTGACATTATCTTCTTTACTGTAGGACCAGAAATTGTCCTGGATCCACCAGAAATCTTTCATCCTTATTCTATATCCTCTGTTTTTGCTTGCCGATTTTACTACTTGAATTGTTGATTCACGGGGTTTTGTGTCTGTGCAATTCAACATAGGTCTCCCTCTGCAGCTACACATTATTTACATACTTAGGCTCAGCTGTGAAAGAAAATGCTTTCATGCTGTTAGAGGGTTATGCTATTATCAGTGCTACAAACTGCTTATATACTGTGGCCAGTTATGCTATTTTAGTATACTTAGACTGAGTTTAGGGCAATAAACCATTAATTATATCTTGTCCACTTTATGGCTGTTACAGGTTTCTGGCTACACAGTGCATATTTTTCCGGGCATATTTTTTTTGCTGCTGCCTTCTAGGAATAGAGAATAGCTGAGATTCTTAGAGGAGACTCGTTAGGGCTGCTAGGTCACTTCCTGGGAAATCCCCAAAGTGGGATGCCCCTCCAAAGATCTGCATGTATTTTTTTCCATTTCCTTTCAAACATCAAAGCGTGATCCCTGTTATTTTCAGTGTTAGTACATCACAGTGTAAAGTCAAGTTCCCTCCCTTCAAACACCCTTGATGGTTCAACCCAAGTTCTCTTTAGAATACAGTCCCCAAAACGCCCAAGGTCAGAAATATAGATACGTTTCTCACCTCCCCCCTCCCATGCCAACTCTGTAGAAGCAACAATCTGCTATAAAAACAAATGAAACACATTATCCTATTTTAAAATTTTACAGCAACCTAGAACAAAGTATGAATTTGGTTATGACCACCTTTACATAGTTTATTTACCCCTGGACACAAACTATCCGAAGTTAAGGATTACTGCTAAACAAACAGGATATTCAAGGAGAAGGAAAATGTTTTCAAAGGTACAAAAGGCTACAGGCAGTGAGTTCAAAATTAAAATGATTTATGCCTTTGAAAACTACTCAATTAGATACAGACAAGCAGTGAAACAGAGAATTAAGAGTCACCTTGCAACAAAAATCTTCAAAGAAAATAAATGGAACTAAAGAACAATTATCTACTCAAATGTGCAACTTCAGACTATTAGATCCTGAGCGGCTGTAGACAGTTGGTGGTTTGCTGCAGTTAAGAAGCCTGCAGAAACATTTTATAGGATTTTCCATTCAAAATGGGATTACTGAAAGCATACGTGGTTGACAAGAAATGTCGGGAGAATGTCACTGATGCAACGAGTGCCACGGCAGACTGCCATGACCAGAAGAGATCACTGCTGAAGGGAGAGGGTGAAAAAAAGAGAAACACTGGTGTCCTGGGATTGCAGAGACATATATTAACATACGAAGAAGTATGGAAAGCACACAAGAATACTTGAAAGCACACAAGAACACACTGAACCATGAGCAGTTTAATTGTTTGTAAAGCAGAGTGGCCTGCATGCTTTCAAAAATTTTAGATTTTAGGTTGAGTAGTGAGGCAATAACGATGGATTCTGTAATATAATCAAATCTTGATGCAAACAATGGTCTAGGGTATGTAGTTTAAAACAAAAAAAAAAAGTGAGTTATACAAGTGCATGTAGTGTAAATACAAAGACACACACCTGCAAAATGCAAAGATAGTTGTTTCAAGGGAGATGCAAAATGTGAAGATAAAGTGAAAGCAAAACTATTTACTAGTTTGAAAAAAATCAGTAGTGGTGACAGATTTTGAGCACATTAAAACAATTTGCACAAATGGATGACAGTTCTAGAATGAACAGCACTAATCTTGTTTATTTTCTTGAAACCTACAAGCACCATTAAGAACATAAACTAAAAAGAAAATCCCGCAAAGCAAGCAGTACAAGCAATAAGGAGGCAATATTTTAAGAAATTATTATTAGCTTCCACTTCAATGGCAGGTACTATGCTAATTAAGGAATATTTGCGAAAAGCACCCAAAACACATAAACAAACAACTCCAAAAAAACTGAAAACAAAACACACACTCAAAAACCTGTAACAAACATGGAGAAATATTTTTATAACTGCATAGTCTATGTCGACTTTACCGCTTTTCAAAGTTACAAATTCCTTGAATAAAGAAAACCAAGAACAGTGACATTTTTAATAGAATTTTTTTAATAGAATTATCAGTATTAGCTCACCCACAAAGAACTGCAGAAGTTTTCAAGATACTGAACAATTAAAATGTGGTATTAGAAAAGACTGTAAAATTAGCGTGTTAGTCACACCCTGAAGCAA